TGCTAAGAAAACTTATTCTTATATAATATTTGATGGTTTTGTTTAATTATTCACTAGTTTCTATGTGTGAGAACTTAACAAATACAAAGTAATCATCTTTATCATCATAGTTCCTAGATAATAGATATATTTCATAGAATATAAGAAATATTTAAAAACAGAATGTCTAAAATGACTAATATATATATTGGTTGATGATTGATGTAAATTTATGTGTTAGCTCAACTGATAAAGATGAATTTATAAATATTTGCTTTCTATTTTTCAGAATGATCTACCTAATTTAAAATGTTTCTCATTAATGTGTTGTCGTAGTTTCCAAGGATTTGACAATGTAATTGTACGTCTTCTTCATCGAATGATATATCTCGAAGAATTAACTTTATATCTTAATATCTTTGGTGGTTCTAAATTCATCGCTGGTACTCATCTTGATAATGAAATTCTTATTCATATGCCACAACTTCATACATTCATATTTTATATCGCTTCTGAAAATGTCATTGATTATCCAACTATTCGTGTATCTAATGATGATATTCAACGAACGTTCACAAATCTAGAACATCGACAAGTGGCTTGTATGGTAGATTATTTCGAGCCTTACGAAATGATATGTAGAGTTTTTTCACTTCCATTTAAATTTCATCTTCTTGAAAGCATTGGAAATAACATTCCAAATATTGTATTTAATTCTGTTACTTATTTGAAATTATGGGACATAGATCCATTCAAATATGAATTTTTCGTTCGACTTGCTCGAGCTTTTCCATTTCTTAAAAATTTATCTATTCGGAATATTATACCACCATTTTTGGATAAAAATTACCACCTTCGCGATAAAGACTGGCTCTCAATTATTGAATATCCTCATCTTATTTCACTTGACATGGAACGTGCAAATAGTTATTATCTCGAAAATTTTCTCAATGAAACAAAAACATATTCACCTCATTTAACAGAATTAAAAGTCACTTATTACGCTTTGGAAATTGTGACAAATAATTTTACAAGAAATGAAACACGTCGTAATTGTGCTGAAGTGAGACAACTAATTGCTGAAGGTCCAATGGTTTATTCGAAAGATGTCTATTGTTATTTTCCTTTATTGTCAGTTTAATTTTGTTCTGATATTACCTGAATAATAATCTCTGATCTAAATAATAAGTTGTTTGTTTTCACAAAATCAGGACAGCAGTTAAACCATTTCATTTATTTTCATATTTTTTTCTTTTTTAGAATTTTTTTTTTTGACTGACATCGAGGATCACAGATAATGATTTCAACATGACCTGTTTTAAATTGTTTTTTAGGAGAGTTAACAAATTCTGTTTTCATATCAGTTCCATTTATTGGTGATTTGTCACTGGATGTTATTTGAGAAGGAGTTTCTGTTGTTATTGAATCTGTTGAAAGAGATTTTAATTCTTCTCGAGATTCAACAATCATTGCATTGGATGCAACTGGAGAATATACATTTGTTGCAAGTGTCCATTCGGTATTTGTTCGAAGATTACTTACGGAATAACAATTTGATGGAAGATTTACAAAACTATTTAATAAAACATTCCCTACAGGAATACCTACATAAATGAAGTTTAGTAAAAAAAAAAAGATTCTGTGGGTGTGGGTGTGGGTGTGGGTGCAGGCGTTCATCTCCCTTATATATCAACACCCACACAAACAGTCACTCATACCCACACCCACACCCACTCCCTCTTGGTGGTAAAATACAAGGTGATTTAGATGCAGTCAAAAAGGAACTGAATTATTAAAACTCCTCTCATATTCGTTTCATACAGACGTAGCCGTGAAATTTTAAGCTATATATTTATGAAAACACTTTTTTGAACTCTTATGTTCATAAATAAATTTTCAGCATCATCACTCGAACATATTAGCAAAGTCGAAAATAAAACAGTGCTGTACTGAGGAAGATATGTTTAACATGAAGTGCAGACAGGAAGCTTTTGAAAACAAGCTTGAAAAAGTCGGACAATGACAGAAGACGAGTGTGCACATAATTCAAAGTTATTTTACTCAGTCTTTAAAGCTTTCTTAGCTTGAAAAGTATCGATTTCGGATCTCGGTACATTAAAAACTCAATAATAATTAGTTTTAAAGAAGAACAGGACGCGACTGGACTCCTTAACCAATAGTCGAAATATCTCAACTTTTTCTTTGAATCTAATTAGTGTTGCGTCTTTAACCTAATCACATTCATTGTTGAGGAATTAAGTTCAAGAAAAAAAACAGGCTCTTACTATTGGACAGTTTCTTTGGGAACGAGAAGAAAGAAACAATGTCATTTCAAAGTTTATTGTTTCTCTTGAACAATTGAAGCTTTCTCGCTAAGACTACTAGTCATCTAATACTGTTTTTTTGTATTATTCACTAGCCTATATCTTTATGCATAAAGCAAGAGTGAAAGAAAAAGGAGACATAAGGAAATTGGTGAGAAGATCATCTAAATGTGAAGATAAAAATAGATCATTAGTATATTAAACAGTAATGCATAAGTAATAAACCATTTAGGCAGTAATACATGGTTTTTAAGAAGGAAAGAGAAGACGAAAGAAAAATGAAATATTGTTTGTAAATGATCATTGAGATTACTGAGTGATAAGCCAAAGACGAAATACTAACTATATGTATCTTCGTCATGATTTCTTTTCCTTAGCTATTATCATATTTATAGATTTATTTTATATTCGCACCCACACCTAAGCAGTTGGCACATCCACTAAGTGTATGTGGTTTACATTGTGAATTAGCAGCTAAGTTCCATTCGATCACTGTGCGAGCTCAATTTCTGATAGCGCTAACAAGAATCGTTTTAATATGCCGAACGAAATCAGTTTTCAAAGTATCAGGAACGTTTCTTCGTCGTTCAGTGAAATAGATATTCTTATCTGGATGTGTGTCATGAACAAGAGATAACGCATTGATTGATCCTCCATACATATAAAATGTTGATTCATCGATGTACTGCTTCGCTTCTTTATCTTGTAAAATGAACAATGGATGGATGTGTGAGGTGTGGGCGTGGAGTGTGAGTGCGGGCGGATGCGGGTGTGTATGCAGATAAAGAGGCATACTGCAGCCACACCCTAATAATGAAGCAGTCGTACAATTAGCATGAGGTCTCGCTAGTTAAATATATTTCCCAATCTAATGTAATTCTTTTATTATAAATATTACAGGATAGTTTATCATTTAGTCGTCGATATGATGTCATTATTTTTCTGACATAAGTCTATCATTTTATTATAATATGTTTTTTCGGTTTAGGCTTCCCAAATGAAAAGTTGTAATGATTTTATATTTAAAAGAACATATGTGAAAATAAAGATACCTAGCACATGTAGACCAATTAGTTATCTTTAGGCGTATGAACTAAGCCAAATTGATGAATAAACAGAGTAATGATACGTGTCCATCGTACAGTCTACGATACTATTAAGAACGACATAAATACAAGTCATTTTTATAATTATACAATTTAAATCATATAAAATTCGATTTTGAAATTGTGATCATGATTATTGATTCCTATATATATTAATTAATTTGACTATCCACCCTATTCCTTTGATGTCTCTTACGAATATATCATCATTGTATCGCACACTGACACTAAAAGAACAACAAAAACATATCAATAATCATCGTTAGTCTATTTTTCTGCTAACAAGAAAATTCTGATCTTAAACACGATTTGTAAATATTCATTGTTGCACTATCTTATTGAGTTTATTTCTTTATCAACATGAAACATATTAAAACGAATTTTGAGAATATTCTCAGATAATCATAGAAAAGAACTGGAGCAAATGTTATCTTTCTTACTTTTATACTGAATAAAGTAAGCTAGAATATCATCGAAAAACAATTCTATGTGAATAAAATCTTGTCAGAAATTTGCATTGAAAGGAAAATATCGAATAACATCAGCAGCGGGTCAACATGATGATAAGATGTAGTCATTGAGAGTATGGGTGTGAATATGGGTTTAATATTTATTCGATAGAGAATAGCAGTCAAAAACATATTTCACACTCATATTCACCCACGCTCATTATAGTAAAACTTCCATTAAGTTTAAATGGTTAATTGAATATTTTTATCTCGATCATTTATATTATTTAAATTATTTTTCAATAAAAAAAAAGTATTTTGTTCTAGTAGAATAAAAAAAAGAAAATCTTGTCTTTATTCTATGATAAATAAGACATAAAACGAAAAAATAAAAACAAAAACACAATTTCATCTTTTATAAGCAATATCCCATTCGGTTCTTACTTAAATGTTATGTTCTTATTTACCTAAATGTCGAAATATTTCCACGTGTATAAAAATGTTTAACTATTTTCTTTTGTTTTGTATTTTTTTTTCTCATTAAATGACTGATACATTATTTGGTATTCACAATTATCATTGATGAGTCTTGTTTTTAATAAATTTCAATAACTGCTAAAGAAAATATAGTCGAATCTATTATAAATAACTATTAATAACAAAGACTATCGAATCTAATTGAGAATCCAGATGATGATATCGAAAATAAATAATGATAAATAAGTAAAACGAAAATTTATTTTTTACTTAAAATTTATGAGAAAAACAATGAATCGAAATTTGCAATTAATAGTTTATTAAAACTTCACGGATAAATCATTTGAGTATGATGGTAAATTAATTAAATCCTTTTTTGAATTGTTGTTTATTTTGCTAAAGAGAAGAATCATTTAGAAATTTCTATTATTACTTTTTTATACTTTAGTTTTTTGTATAAATAAATACTAAATATGAACTATATTGATGATTTATACGTGATTTACTCAGTAATATGTATTAAAAATTGATGATCAATGTTTTCTATTACTTGACCTTCTCAATTTTCTCGTGAATCTTTTTTCGAATAGTTAAAAAAATAAATTATTTAAAATGTAGCAAACTGTACGAATATCAATGCGATGAAAATCTTCTTTTATATATAGCGATAAATCAAATAAGATTCAAAAGTTTTATTCGAGATTAAAACTTTGTCACATAGTATAACATAAAAAAGAAACTTTGTGATAAAGTTCTTTTATATTATCACATAAACAATAATGAAATATTTTAGAATTTTTAAAGTTTCTTTATAAGACTTTTTAGTGTTGAAATTATTTCTTTTGATATGTTCCAAATAATATAAAAAGTTTTGTTTGTTTGTTTTTTGTATTATTAATAAGTAGATACCATTAAGCGAATAACAAAATGATAATGTTCAGATCAATTAAAAAACTGTTACTGTACCTTTTTCTCGGAATAACTGAACATCATTTTCCACAATGATTATATAGGTTTTTTTTCACAGGTACGAATAATTAAGAATAATAATTCAAACGTTTCGAAGAGAAACAAAATTAAATTATGATCAACAATAGAATTTTATGGAAAAATCAAATCTATAGAAAGAAATTGATTGAAGATCAGATAGTTTTCTTTTTTTCTAATCTCTTAGAATATTCTCTTGAAAGTAAGATTAGAAGACGTTATTTATAGAATTATAAACATTTTATTGGATTTTCAACTTATAATAAAATATTCGTAGAAAAGAAAAGCAAAAAATAAGAGTTTTTCATTTCATACTATTGATTCTTTCTCAAAATCTTAACTATCGAAAAAAAAACCAGTTATAAATCCAACCTTAAATTTTTGTATTCTGATTATATCTAGTTGATCTGTAAATAAATAATATAAATTCAATTAACAATAAAATTTTGTATACGTATAAAAGAAGAAAATCAACTTATAATTATTTAAATCAAAATAGAAATATGTTACTTTTGTTAATCATCAAATAATTGATTGTTTAATTGATTTATTTAAGGTAGATGTGGTTGTAGATATGGATGATGGAGATCTGTTCATATATATTTACATTCACCTCAATTTCACTTTACTCCTAACAATCACAGACATTTCACACGCAGCTATATCTACTTTTTAAAAGTCCAAGAGGATTTTATTTGATAAACGAAAGTAGATTACATAAATTTTACGTAACAACAATGAATAAATAAACGAATATTCTCTAAACTGAAATGCTAATCTTGAAAAATTAATTTCCTTTTGTATCAGTGTAACATATGATAAAAGTCATTATAATCACGATATTAAGAATTACAATTATGATACATTCAATCGTATTATTTAACCATTTTTATTGTCATTTGAATTATATATTTAAGTTATTTAGTCTTAGCTATTTGATTAGTGATCTGAATATTCTAGCATTTCAATAGATAAACATCGATTGTTAGTTAATCAGATCAGTTTAGAGTAAAGCAAAGCAAATATCAATAAGAATAAAATTTATAAGTCTATAGTTGTAAAATATATTGAGAAAAAGTCTAATTATTTTTATGATTTTTTATGTGAAAATATATGCAGATGTGTTGAATAATATATTGAATAGATGTCATAAATTCATTTTTATATTTCTCTGATGGTAATATAAATATAATTAATGTACTCATAGATGGAGTAAAAGAAATAAAATATCCAAATAGATATAACCATGGATTTCTTGGTGATTTCATACAACCACTAATAAATGATATAATCAGACGAGGTAAAGCCAATAAAATTAATGCACATGATGCGAATAGATGATGTTTATGTTTATTAAAATGTTGTCGTAAATGTGTAGAAAATGGTATTGCATTTTGAGTTTGCCAACGAGAATGTGCCATGTGTTTTATTGTTAATATTGTAGAAATTATATTTACTGATAAAGGAAGAATAAAATGTAAAATTGTTATAGACATATTGAAAATGTTTAATGCAGAAGAATATTGAACTAAACACCAAGTTCGTTTTTCATCAATATCAATATCATCAATCAAATGACGATAAAAAGGATCTTGAATATGAGTAAAAATTGTTAGTAGATATATGAATAGACAAATCCATTTAGCTATTTTTTTACTTTGATGTTGATTAAAATGAATACCTTTAATTACTGTAAATACTCGTTCGAGTGCAATACAACCATAAAACCAATCATTTGATGCTACAAAAATTTTAAGAATCACATCTAATAATATACAATTCCATTTAAGAAATAATCGATTATTAATTATTGAAATTTGTGATAAAATTAATTGCCAAAATTTAATTATCTATATTATAATTAAACATAAAGAATTCCATGATGAAACAAGAAGATAGATACTACAACCATTTTTTCTTATTGTTTTATTTTGAAATGTTATTATAGATAAAATAGCATTGATCATTCCTAAAATAAACATAACTGTGGCAATAGAAATACTTATTTGAATAATAAATGGTTGTCGATTAATTGAAACGTTTGGTTTAATATTATAACTAAGAATATAATCAAGAGATAATGCAAATCCTTTAGTAGAAAATTGTCATTTTGTACCATAATAACATGATGGACATACACAAATTGATAGAAGAGGACATTTAAGAGTATCTTGAAAGCATAGACCATTATTTTCACAAATATTTTCACCTTGACAATCATGTGATATAGTTTTATTGAATGTAAAACAATTCGAAAATCGATTAAGATCACATATACACATATATATATCATCATAGAAACATTTCAATTGTTCTTTTTGTTGACATAAATGAGGATAATATTTAACACGATGAAATAAAGAATAATTTAAAAATGTATTATTCATTAATTCGTTTATTGATGAACATCGATAATTTGGTAAAATTTTTGTTTGAATATATTCGGATTCGATAAATTTTTCTCTTAATACAACTAAATAATAGGTTTGATTTGTTAATTCAATAAATATAGCATGAAATGGATCAATTGTAAAAACACTAATTATATTTGGTGCAAATTTAATCTTTTTTAATAAAGTATTACGCTGATGACCACCATTTTCTATTGAACTAATAAAATGTATCCAAATCATTGACATCATGCCAATATTTTTATCATTGAATGCAATATCAATTTGATTTTTGAGATTTTCACATCTTGTTCCGAAGAAATTTTTCGTACATAAACATGTAAAAGTATTTAAACCTATAGGATCATCATGAGGTATACAAATTCCATTATTTTCACAAGGATTTTTAGGAATTTGACAAATTGAATTATTTAAGTAACATTTTGAACCAAATTTATGTAGTGGACAAATACAAATAGATGATCGAAGACAATATGAATCTAATGAACAAGAACAATTCTGTTGAATGTTACATTGTTGACCTGAATATCCTTCATTACATTGACAAAAGTATGAAAGATTTTTATTAATGTATGGTACACATTGACCATGTTTACCACAAAATAAAGGACATGATTTCAAAATTATTTTTGAGTTTGGAATAAATAATTGAGTAGCTATTCGATTAACAGGTAAAAATTGAAATGGAATAGAAAGATGCCAACTTCCTAAATAGATTAATTTCATTTTATCAAATAAATCAATATGTATTGAATAATTCATAGAAGAATTTTTTGGTTGATTTGGATAAAGTAAATAAAGATTATATTTTGAACTACAATCACGTTTTGGTACGAATGTAAATTGTTCATAATATGATACATTTCGATTTTGTTCATCAATAAGCATAACAATAACTTGAAAAACTGTTGTTATGTACATATTTGTACGATATATTAATTGAATTGTTAAACTTATTCGTTGATTTTGCCATTGACATTGATTACCAAAATAACTTGGTGGACATAAACATTTTGTTGTATTTTTATCATTAAAAAGAATGCGAATTCCTCGATTACAATACCACATCTTAATATGGTTTGATTCTGTATTGATCAATAGTTCTTTGTTAATTATTGAACTATTTCGCTTAGGTACTTTAGTGATATTTAGTGGAAAATATCCCAGTTGTAAAGATTTAAAAGTCCATTCTGTGGTTTCAAATCTATGAAAAGACTTTCTCGTAATAGGACAAATATATTTTTCAATTTGTAACAGCCAGTATTTAATTGCTGCTGAAGTAGCAAACATGCTCGGATCGACCAAAAATACTCCAGGAGTCCCAAATTCTGGATTATATTTGAAACATAACTTCTCTACATCTAGACATGAATAGTCATCTTCCATAATTGATATCGGCTTACTGTTAATCGTTGTATTAAAATATGTTGTATTTTCTATGTAAAGAATGTTACAACTTAAATATTCTTCCATTAAAACCATTAATGAAAAACAAAATCGATTGGACAATAGTGTTTGATGTGCTTCATCATCATGTGATTCACATTTTATAATGGGACAATTTAATTCATCAGCACCATCAATACAATGTTTAACATAATCACATTGAGTATAAATATTATTGCATGGCCAATATTGACAGTTCGTCTCGTTGATATTGTTAGTTTTTAATAATAATTAATCATTTTTATGATTACATATAAGACTAAATGGAACAATTCCTTTTAACATATTACGTTGATTTTCAGTCATTTCATCTTCACCATCTTTACAATCTTTGTTTCCATTTTGCACTAATATTAGTGATAAACATTTGTTTGACTCTGATTCACAAATAAATCGTTGAGAATCATTGAGATGACATGCATGAACATCTGCTTCATCTTCACCATAGTAACAGTCAGAAATGCCATCTAGTAGACGATGTTTCGATATGCATTTTGATGAAAGTGAACAATGAAAAAGTGAGGGATGTGAGCAGGATTGATCTACACCTGTTGTGGTGCAACGGAAAAATAGATTTTTTATAGCATAGAATAGATCGTCACCATTAATGATTGATGTATCAAATAATTTTGAAGAAGGACAACAAATTAGTTCGTCATCTAATCCTATTTCTACAGCACAATTAATCATTACCGAACAGTCTTGAATATAAAAGCAAATAAAATCAGGATAATTTAGGATAATTAGATCTTTCACTAATCGATCAGGTAAGTAAATAAAGTGAAATTTCCAAAACATATAGTAGAATTTAGCCTTAAAAATCCATTCTGACAAACATTTTTTGTCTATAGCTGTACATGGCATCAAACTAAATATCGAAGCTGATTGATTTAATATTTTTTGTAGATACATCACATTCGAGGCTAATGTTGAGTCGAATATTTCATCTGAAATCTCCATCAGAATTGGAACCGAATATAGTTGATGATGCAAATGTTCTAAGAACTGTCGACCGTTAGCGCACAAATGCATAAGATCTATTTTATCACTAGGATGATATTGACCATCACTACATGAAAAATAACGTTGATATGGTCCAGTGCGTTCTTCGCATGCAAATGTTGGAATCTTAAAGCAGCTACTGGCGAAATGATAACGTCTTTTTTCGAATAAATGCATTTCATCAGTTCCATCAAGACAATCAGCAGTATTAGATCCATCGCGTACAAATGCCAATGGAATGCATTGTCCACCAAAATGACATCTGTATGTATCAGAAGGACATTCATTCGTTTCCAATATTTGACAATTATCTTCATCCATTCGATTGATACAATCAAATTTTCCATCACAAATCATACGCCAATCAAGACATGTTATTGGTGCATTACTAATACAATTATTTAAGAAAGAATAACATGTTCCGCTGAGATATTCCAGTTGATACCCGAAAGTGTTACGAGTGAAAAACTGTAATCGAACAATATCATGAAAAGTTGCTTGAACATTATTCTCGAATCTATATTGACATTTTGAGCCAAACCAAGGTGATGAACAATTGTAAAAAATCTCTGTCGAATCTGCACCTTTTATTTCATATTTTTCAGCGATATCAATTGATGCTGACCAATTAAGTAATTGTGTACTTGTTACACCTTGTTTATACAATTGTTCAAATGTAATGATATTGTTTATATTACTTTGTGAAATATTGGAGAAGTCATCTGGTGCATCATTTTGATCGAGTCTTCGACAATATGGAACAATCTGATGGATCGTTCTATATCGGTAATCCCCATAATAGTCATAATCTATCAAATGAGCATAAAGACAGTCAAAAACTGATTTCGAGATTGATGATTCATTCGTATCATAAAGAAGATATTGAGTAGTAAATACATTCAATGATAATAGAAATATCAATACTTGTAGATTATTCATCATTGATTGGATTCCAACTAATTCATAATCTTTTTTCCCTATCACTGTATGATCAAAAAGAGAATTTTATATATAACAAGAACATAAAAAGCTTTTATAATCTAGTAATATTTATTTTAAACTGCGGAAGTTTCTGTTAAATTTCTGATAAAAGCAAGGATATTTATAAAAAGCGATAAATTTTCTAATAGCATGGGTATCTGAACAAAATTCTGGATATATAAATTTATTTTCATATTTTCTAGTTTGTGAGATAGAAAAAAAAAAGATTTTTTTAATTAATCGTTTTTTAATTAATAATCAGTCGTTACTTGAAACTATGTACAACAATGTTATTTGATTCGAAGATAAAATATATTGTAATCTTTTATTTTCTGTATGATATAAGATATGCTAATGAATCTCATCTCTTCTCAAACAGCTTCCATTTTGAAAATTATCTTTCTTCAATCGGGTATTATGGTGACAGGTGAAGCTTATTTTTACAGTTCTATCAGTATGCAAATAATATGATTTTCATGCTAGAAAAATATTTAAGCACTCTGTATGGGACTAAATTTGTAGAAAATGAAATCGTCACTGACATTTTCCTCCTAAAAGGACGTGGGACGATATGGGCACTTTTCGTCCCAAAAAATTTTTGGAAAAAAACTATCTGGCGATAATAAGTTGCTCATGGGCTACAACGTGGGCACATTTATTCACCCTAGTCCGACATTCAAATTTTTTGCACCTGTACTCCCCCACAGCACACCTGGAAAATTTTTTTTTTTCTTTTTTCGTCAAATACATGTTAGAATATAGAATTAATAATGCTGATCATGAATATGAGTATGGTTTTTGTCTGGAATCTTTTAATAAGTCAAAATGCGAAATTTTCGATGATATTGGTCCTAGGTAAAAATTTAAGGTTTTCTATGGTTTTTGAGCCCTTGTCGTCTTAATTTAGGGTTTCAAATCTTTGGAAACATATTTCAAATAGGTAATCAACTATTCTCTATTTAATGATGTAAAAATTACAACATCTAAATACAGAAAACAATTTTTAAAGTCGGATTACGAGCAAAAATTCCCGCCAAATGTGATAGATGACTCTTTTTGAAGCCATACTGCTTCGCCATAATACCATGTCTCCATATGAAAATGATGCAGGTAGATGCAGTTTTTTGCGCTCTATTCAAATATGTCCTTGGAAAAGAAAAAAAGCATGTCTTTTTGTGGTAAAATGACCGGTCAGTAGTGAAAAGCCATATTTTTTAAATCATATTTTCACATTTCTCGCATACTATCAGTCGATATATACGTTTAGCCAACACAATTAGTATTCCATTAGATAGAGCACACTTGATTACCTATGCTAAGTATTTTTTCAAAGATTTGGAATATTCCATCGAGATCCGAGCGATTTAAAAAAATAAACAAGAAGGACCTTCCTTTTTTTCAGATGATTACAATGTTTAAAAGTTGTCTTCTCACTTTTTAAAGTGGCATCTACCAAAATAAGGAACTATTCGTGATTAGTGCGTTAAACTGTATATTTTAGCATCTGTTTGACAAATAATGATTGGAAACAGTTTTCCAGGTTCCCGAGGGCTGGAGGGGGGTACAGGTGTGAAAAACCTCGATGACTAAAAAATGGCACTAAGTGTGCCAGAGTTGTAGTCCATAGTTTGCTGATTCTCGTGATGTGATTATTTTTTGGAACACGCAGCCTTGATGATGGAAATCGCATAAACACCCGGACTATTTTTCAGCATTATTAACCGTCATAGTAAAAGGATTTATTATCATTTTCCATCGATCTATAGAGGATCTGTAGTTCTTTAGAACTACTTAACATAGGTAATCAAGTGTGCTCTATCTAATGGAATACTAATTGTGTTGGCTAAACGTATATATCGACTGATAGTATGCGAGAAATGTGAAAATATGATTTAAAAAATATGGCTTTTCACTACTGACCGGTCATTTTACCACAAAAAGACATGCTTTTTTTCTTTTCCAAGGACATATTTGAATAGAGCGCAAAAAACTGCATCTACCTGCATCATTTTCATATGGAGACATGGTATTATGGCGAAGCAGTATGGCTTCAAAAAGAGTCATCTATCACATTTGGCGGGAATTTTTGCTCGTAATCCGACTTTAAAAATTGTTTTCTGTATTTAGATGTTGTAATTTTTACATCATTAAATAGAGAATAGTTGATTACCTATTTGAAATATGTTTCCAAAGATTTGAAACCCTAAATTAAGACGACAAGGGCTCAAAAACCATAGAAAACCTTAAATTTTTACCTAGGACCAATATCATCGAAAATTTCGCATTTTGACTTATTAAAAGATTCCAGACAAAAACCATACTCATATTCATGATCAGCATTATTAATTCTATATTCTAACATGTATTTGACGAAAAAAGAAAAAAAAAAATTTTCCAGGTGTGCTGTGGGGGAGTACAGGTGCAAAAAATTTGAATGTCGGACTAGGGTGAATAAATGTGCCCACGTTGTAGCCCATGAGCAACTTATTATCGCCAGATAGTTTTTTTCCAAAAATTTTTTGGGACGAAAAGTGCCCATATCGTCCCACGTCCTTTGCTGTTTTTTTCTTATCTATACTAATGCAAGGTTTCTTCATCATTACTTATTCATGACAAAGACATTCAGCAAAACAAAATCCTTCATATATTATCAAATAAGATTCTAGTTTTACATGATTTTTGATTGTTTCTAAGAATAGATTAGCTAAATAACAGGTGGTCACAAAGTTTCGACCCCTGATTATTAAATTAAGAATATCTATATCAAACTCATATGAAGGTATTGATCAAATTATATCATTTTATAGAGAAAGAGAAGAGCAATCGCCTGAAAAAAAGACAATTTGAAATACACATATTTATTATAAAGTTATTGTTATTTTAATAATTTCTAGTGCAAAATTTTTACGTTGCATTTCTTACGAAAAATAAATATTCTTGCAATATTTGAACAATCAAAGTCGATCGGGATATAGATTTTTACATTCTTTAGTAGATATTTTTATATGATTACATAGAATTCGACAAGCTCTACCAAAATATGGACATAAAAAAATGATCTTCTTTTACATACACAAGAATAAAAGTTTGTCAAATCATGTATTGCAGACTATATGTAACTTTCAATAAGTTTGGCAGATCGACTGTTCTGTCTATTATTTTATGTTCTGAGATGCTTTGTCATGTACTCTAGAGGAAAATACCTTTTCCACGCTTCAGGAACAAACCAACTAATTGATTGACTGAACGTATTGGAAATTAAGCACACTTTCTTCAATACACAATATATAAGATTTCGACTGGTTCTTAAACTTCTCTCCAAGTTTCGTATCAGAAACAGGATCAGCAAAATTGTTGATATTCATTTTCTTGTGTAGAGCTTGACGAACTCTATTCAACCATATTAAAGAAATTCAGAAAACTATTACAGTTTAGCCGTTACTTTTGTTTTTGCAAAAAAAGCAACGTAAACATTTTGCACTAGAAATTATTAAAATAACGATAACTTTATAATAAATATGTGTATTTCAAATTGTCTTTTTTTTCAGATGATGACCCTTCTCTTCCTCTACAAAATGATATAATTTGATCAATACCTTCATATGAGTTTGTTATAGATATTCTTAATTTACTCATGAGGGGTCGCAACTTTGTCACCACCCTTTAGTAATGAAATAAACAGCAGTTAGTTAGTTGAAATTATTTATCAGAATCTCCGGTAGAGTAAATGCAAATTTCTACCCCATAAACTTCATTAATCTATTCGAATTATGCTTCAAAAATGAATTTATGTTATAATCTGTAATATTTCGACAATACTAAAGTAAAATGAGTAGGGATACTTCTGCATATAAAAACTTTTACTTCCGTTGCCTGCAATTAACAATGCAATACGGACAATTTATTTAGAATTTCATCTGCTGATTATGTACTTTTCATGATAGATTATTTCAGCTACGGTTATTTTATCAATTTCAGTAATTCATAGTTTTTTCATTGTGGGTGTGGGTGTGGGTGGTAGGGAACTGCAAAGTGGTCCCGGTCCCGACGGGACCGGGACCGGGATCGGGACTAAAAATTTTTCACATTGGTCCCAGTCAGCTTTTATGCAATATATTTTCACGTTTATTATTTTGACATGATTTAAAATCTGTAAATCAGATATTTTTATTTGCTATTTCTATAAAAGTCTTTA